CCTTTGCATTTTTTGGAACTACTTTGGTTAACTTTTCCTCTTAAGAGTGTTTTTTTGTTATCTACCTGTTACCTCTACGGAGTGATTTTCTGTTGTGCACATAGTGCAATTTTTTCAGTAAAGACTTTCTTTTGTACTTTGTTTGTCGAGTCGTGCTTTTGGGTTCATACTGGTTTACCTAGCCGTCACAAAAGCCCAATCATTCCTATCCGCTGATGAAAAGTATTCACTAAACATGTGGAGATCGTGACTTATTTGACAGTCACGACTGACAAGAAGAACTGAGATGAATGAAATACGTAAGTAACAGAGAAAAGACAAGGAGGAAACAAGAAGCTGAAAGAGAAATCTGAGAGACTGAAGACAGCAGAGAGAAAGAGAGATGCAGAGATTGTTGTTCATTCATCCGACCTCTCAAACAACAGAGTTACAGACACAGAGACAGACGAGAGAGAAGGGGGAGAAGAAAAAGCGAGGAGGATCTTGTTCGGCAGAGAGATCACAGCAATACAGATCTATTTACAGATTAGTAATGGGTCTGACTGTGTCTGTGTGTCTGTGTGTGTGTAGTCTGATAGTTCTTGCAGTATGTATGCACACACACACACACACACACACACACACACACACATACACACACACACACACACACACACACACACACACACACACACACACACACACACACAGCCAGCCAGCCATTAGGGGGAACAGTTTTATAAAGGTGACCCTCTCAATATCTTAAACATTCAAACGATGCGTTCATGTCCCCCCGTATGTATTACTCTAGTGCAGGGGTGGGCAATTATTTTTTCCATGGGGCCACATGAGAAACTGAAAATATTGTGGAGGGCCGGGCCAAAAGGCTGAACTCAATTCTGCATAATATTAATTGTATTTCTTTATAAAAAGCAGTAAATAGCATTGTTTTGACAAGCTGGTAAGAGTATATGTTATAGTTAAGCAATGAAAAAGTGAGGTTGCCTTACAAAAAAATGTCATTTATTAAATCAAATTTCCCAAAACAATGGTAAACAAAATGAACGTTTTTCACCATTTGTGACTCATATTAGTGAACATTTTCAGTCACATTCACTCAAACACATTTTGAGTTTCATTTACTGTTGGAAAGAGGTTCTTAGCATTCTAAAGACATCACAATATTGTCTTTGTACTCCAAATATTAAGCAAGATACATCATATTGAACTGTCACTAAACATCACTGAACTGTGATTTTGAGAAAAAGGCTTCCAAAGAAAGTGTCCCAGTTCACTGCTAGTTGGTGCCTTTACATGCCAACATTTGTAGTCTAACCACCTCATTTGGTGTTTTTAAGTTCTCTTTTCTTGTTCAGTGAGAGAAATCTAGTCTCTGCTGGGCTTTAACGAGTGCATCAAAGTCAGGTTGAATGTCTGAGGTGGAGATGCGAAGCACAGCTGACAGATGATCATCAGTGAGAGAGGATCTATACCTGGATTTCGTAAACTTCATAATTGAAAATGTTTGTTCACATATGTATGCGTGTCCATGCACTCGTTTACCTCCGTGAACAGATCGCTCCCTGTCGTCGTCCCTTTCATCGACCGCATTGCTGCCAGCTCCTCCGTAATCTTGAAGTCCGGTGTTATCCCGCGGACGAATACGAGTAACTGGGCTGTGTCGCGGACATCACAGCTCTCGTCCAAAGCCAAGGAGAAAAAGTCGTAACTTGCCACTTCACGTTGCAGCTGAAGCTCCAGATTCCCCGCAATGTCCTCGATCCTTCTAGTCACGGTTCGCCTGGACAGCGGGACTTGCTCAAATGCGGCTTTTTTTTCAGGGCATATTAGTGCTGCAGAGTCCACCAAGCACTCTTTGACAAACTCCCCCTCCGAGAACGGCTTACTGTTTTTAGCAATTTTGTGGGATATCACAAAGCTGGTCATGGTTGCTGCATCACTGGATGTGTGAAGCTTGGTAAAAAAGCCTTGCTGCTTTTGCAGCTTAGCTAGCAAAGCTTCCGATGTCCGCGCCCTTTCAGCGTCAGTCAAGTTTTTATATTTCTCCGCGTGTTTCGTCTCGTAATGTCGACTCACATTGTACTCCTTAAACACGGCGATCTGCTCCCCGCAAACTAAACACACGGTTTTACCTCCGACTTCAGTAAATAAATACTTAGCAGTCCAATTTTTGTTGAAAACCCTGCATTCAGCATCTACCTTTCTTTTTTTAGCGGACATTTTTTTGAGGGCTAAAGTCGTCTTGTGACAAGGATCCAATAATGTGCACGTCTTGATATACGTATTGCGTCATTATGCACGTGAATAAAAAACAACTTCAAAATAAAAGCAATGCAGCTTTAGTCCATGCATGAGGTAAAGTTAGAAAATATGTTTATTTTGTAATTTCCAATTAGCCTTACACGGGCCGGTCAGAGTCAACCAAAGGGCCGTATGTGGCCCGGGGGCCGTACGATGCCCAGGTCTGCTCTAGTGCCTTCTTTTTTCACTTGTTTCACTTTACCTCAACAAATTCACTGCTACATCCACGCCATTTTGTGCAAAACATGGGTGACGAGTTTGAACAATAATTAAGTTTTGATGACTCAAGTCGACAATTCATTTTTGCGTTATATTATATTGAAGATAAATAACTGACTGATAATGACTCAAGAGAGCACTAGCACAGATAGAAGATGAAATGTATATGTCCTTATATTGAAAAAAAAAACAGCTAATGGCCCACAGAGACAACAAAAACAAATGCTTTCATCAAACCTTCATCCTCTCCCTCCCTCCTGGGTGTGCGGCTGAGTCCTTTGTGTCATGTCCTGCCTGCGTCTCAAGAATTGGTGCTTCTCCTCAGGACAGAAAAGTGCACTGACCACGAATAATCAATAAGACTTGCAGTATGTTGCATCATGTTGCAACACCTCAAGATAATCATGCTCTTCTGCCCTGTCATGCACCTCTTTGTTGTTGAATCAGAACTTGTTTGTGAACTTTCCCCGACTGCACACGGTCCACTCCTTCACTCTGAGTGGTGACAGGTGTTAGTAGGATTGTGAAGTAGAGACAAGTATCTGAAAAATCTATTTTCTGTGTATATTTTAGTTAAAAACACTCAATCACTATGTATAAACACTACAAGTGGTTATAGATATGTGTTGCAAAGGGCTCAGTACTCATGAGGATGTTTTAGAGATTATAAAGCCCTTTGAGACAAACTTGGATTTGTTTGAAAAATGGACATCTGCCCCCTAAGATAGATACAAGCAGAATGCAAATGACTCTACGGGGATTTCGGTAAACACATCTTGGGACAGAGTATGAAGTAAACCACGCACAATCCAAAAGATGCACACGCTTAATGCACTTTTTTATGTTTTAAAGGTCCCCTATTATACTGTTTTTCATCAATATATTATAGGTCTCAGATATATACAAAACATGTCTCGGAAGTGTTTGGCTCGAAATACCAAACAGATCATTGTAGCGTCCCATAATCCCCTCTGTTTCAGCCCTGTTTCAAAAGTGCTGATTCTCTGTCTGTTACTTTAGATGAAAATAAGGAGCCACTCCCCACGCCCCTATGAGAGATATTTGGTTAAAAAGAACACAATGGTGCTCTAGGAGGAGATTCAGGTGATAAGGTGGGCGGGGGTTACCTTGGTTGGTGATTGGCTAATGGTTACACAAGCCAAAAAATCGTTATGACATCATAAAGTGGTCAAAATCTGATCAGCTCATTTTCAGACAGGTTTTTATAGAAATGGATCAGGACAAAAAGTGAGCAAATCTTTTTTCCTGAAACTTTCAGAATCTCTTCACACAGAGGGGACACATGTTGATGTATAATAGACATGAAAAGGTGGATTTTGCATAATAGGTCCCCTTTAAATAAACATGTAAGAATGAAATTAATCCAAATCTAAATCCAGAAAATAAGAAGTTAGTAGACAATTTCAAGCTTTGCAGGGTTTGAAATTCTCTTTTTTGTCCTCCTGCCATTTTGGAGGTGGATTCCAAATCTGCCAGGCTCTGCCATTGTTTATTTTGGCTGGTGAGTGAAGCAACTCTACCAGCATTTGGCTGGTGGTTTGTTTTAATTTTCAACCTTCTGCTGTCGCTAAATTAATGAGCGTATCCTTAACTTTAAGCAGAAAAAAGCACATGTTATAAAAACACTTTTAGAACATTTCTGGCTACTTTTAATTTGTTATATATATATATATATATATATTTTATAAAGAACAATATCTCTCTAATTTAAATTGCTTCACTGTTCAAACAATAAGTTAATATGTGCCCTTGATTTCATACACATCGTCGTATACATCCTTAGTAGTAGATACAACTATGAAAATGTTTTTGGTGTTTTTTAACATTACTTTATAATGTTTACTAAAAGAGTGATGTTTATTAAAATGGGTTTTGACTTTATTGTTGTGGGTAGAATCTGTTTCAGAGAAAATGTCAAATTATTTAGATGAAAAATATATTCTTAGCCATATTGCAGCGAACAATAAACCAGCAAAAATATTTTCTTTTGATCACTTTAATATAAAACAATTGAACCCATGTAGCTGTAATCTATATCAAATTGTAACATGTATCCTGTACAATTCAATAAATGTAACCATTTGTGTGGCTATATATAATAAACAACAGCTTGACATTAAGTCAATGGTCATATTGCTGAGTCATTGTTAACATGTTGTTCATTACAATGACCCGATTATCATGGGCACAAGAGATATAAGGTTCTGGAAGACAATATGGGAACTGTGCAATTAGACGACTTCAACCAATTAAATCTGCTGCCTGGATCAAGCTGCTAAGCTTTAATCTGCCGCTAACTTTATCCAGCAGCTGTCTGACATGTGAAGGCCGTGAGAATTTGTATTTCATTAAATTGCACGTATTGTGTGCAGTTATCTATCGACTGGGTGGGAGTTGGGTTGGGTGGCCACCCTCCTCCCCTCACTGCTCGCCAAGATAAGAGCTGAAAAACCACAAATGTTTCAGAAAACACCCGATTCACCCTCAACTTGTTCACAACAGAAACTTGTTGTACAGACGAGAGTAGGTGAAATTACATTCAATATTCAAGAGTCTGCATGACAATGTCTTTGAGTGATAAGCAACCGACAGAGAACGAGAGTCTAAAACGGAGCAGAAAGAAGCAAAAGAAGGAAGATGCCTGGAAACCAGATGGACCCAAGGACCCTTTTTCTATGGTTTGTGTCTTAGTATAAGTGTGAGTGCATTTGTGTATTTTAATATGTGTGCCAGTTTGTGTTTGTGACTATTTGAACTCTCGCAAACATGCTTATTGTTGGGTTGTGTATTGTATCATGAAACAGGTAAATGTGTCTATCATAACAACCAGTTTTGGCTGCAGGAATAAAGATGACGCCTGCTGGCTGCTGTGTGCCGGTCAAAGATCAATCTTCTTGAAAAGATTATAATGTAACTTGTCCTTGCCTGTCTTGTTCTGCCCTAAAGCTGGACTCTCTTCCTGAGTCGAAGCAGCAGGAGATCCAGAAAGCCCTCCACCTCTTCTCCTTGGGCCCAACTCTGCCCAAGACCCTGCAGCAGGCCAAAAAACACACGTACCGCTTCTGGGAAACACAGCCTGTCCCCAGACTGGGTGAGAAGAGATAACTGTTCCAGCTATTGTTTGTTGGTGTACTCTAAAATGAAAGCATTGGCTCAAATGTATAACAAAGGCAAAAGTAATATGCTTTTTTGCTTTCTGTGACAGAATAAGAAGAGAACATTGATCACAGTTAAACATTTGTTAGCTAAATATAAGGCAATAGCCAGCAGCCAGTTAGCTAGCTTAGCATAAAGATTAGCAACATGGGGAAACAGCTAGCCTAGCTCTTTCCAATAGTAACAAAATCCACCTACCAGCACCTGTGAATCTCACGAATAGGTTAAACACGTTTTGTCTGGTTTGTTTATCAAAACTGCATCATAAAAATGTAAATTTGGGGGTTTTGTGGTTATGTGTTGTACTCATGGCTCTGAGCTGTAGCAGGTAATCAGTTCAGTGGCTGTGTATCGCAATGACGCTCGAAATGTCCCATATAGGCCTACGTCTGTTTCCGGTTATTTTTATTTTTGAAATTCAGTTCCTGACGGACGCCAAAAAAGCCAGAGATTATGGAATTAAACATATAAATAAAAACAAGGATAATTGTGTGTTATTGTTGAGTAAATAACAGTGTGTTATTTAGAAAAGAATAACAAATTAGCAGGAAAAAAAGATTTAAAAAATACAGATTTCAGTATTCTGAGGCTCTGAGCCCCATTTATTTTCCTCACAGATGGCAAAAAAAGTCCGACGTTATACGATTTAAAATAAAAACAATAATCGTGGCTTGATATTGAGTAAGAACATGTTTTTATGAACCCCACAGCTTCCGGTCTTCCAAGACCCGACCGGACAAAAAGACGTGGTGCAGGCACGAAACATACTACCAATAGAAATACATTGCTTTTAAAATCGTTCTGTGTGACATGGAAAAAAGGGGAAAATCGTGTTGGTGAACACGAATCAATAGATTAAATGTCGTGACTATAACACGAAATGCCGTGAGACTGGGTTGGTCAACCAGCAGAAAGGTAACTTCTACCAGTCAAAAAATAGTTTTGTACATAACCCTTAGACCGTAAACATTTATTTTATTTACTATTTTGTTGTCAGGCTAGCTGTTTATCTGTATTTCCAGTGTTTATGTTGGCCTACTAGCTGCCGTTAAAAGCTTTAAAAGACATATTTAAAGGTGGGGACCTTCTTTTTCTCTAACTCTCCTTCAACAAGCACATTCGTATTTGTAAAAGGCTAAAACGAGCTTTACAATATAAGAATATTTGCCATTTACTGAGAGAAAAGACTAATGCAAACCCTTCCAAGCTACTTCTATCAATTTATTGGACACACAGTCTTACTTTTTTACAATAACATTAGCATAAACATCTGTGAGCAGACATGGTCTCATATTCTTCCCAGTAGTGCATGTGTATAGTAAGGAGCATTAGACAAAACAAATACAAGAGTCACTCCTCAAACATTGCTCTGGATGCCCTTAACTCTACTTCTGATTACAGCCGTTGCATACTAATTGTATTAATGTTCAATTCCCTTTTATGCAAAATAGTAAGGAGAAGCTCTCTAATCCTATTTAAACATTATTACAGAGCATCCATTTAAAAAAAAGCCATTACCAAAAGTTAATAAATCATTCACTGTAATTACAACATTGAGAATTAAGTCATGATTTACTTCAATTGTTTTTCTTCATACTTGTGTCCTCAGGTGACAGTGTTGAGACTCATGGTCCAATAGTAGAGGGTGAAGCCAGTGTGCGTATGGAGCCCTACTCTCTACCTCAAGGTTTCTCCTGGGACACTTTGGACATGAGCAACCCCTCTGTGGTAACTTACTGTTACAGCAGTTATTGTTACAACATTAGAAACTTGATCACACATATTTGTCTGATTTGGGTCTTTTAGATGTAAGGAACTGTACTTTTCTTAGTATGAGGTAAAAAAGAAAAATACTGAAATCTAGGAAAATTAATATAATTTCAGTTGAAAGAGCTATGCACTCTGCTCAATGAGAACTACATGGAGGAGGATGACAACACTATGAGATTTGAGTTCTCTTCGGATTACCTACAATGGTAAGCTTCAATGTATATCAGCAAAAATGTATCTTGCCAGTAAGCCTGCTGGGGGATAATGTGTGTGTAACAGTGTGTGTGAGCCTTTATGTGCAAGAGTGTTTGAGTATGTATATCTCCCACATTACAGAACCCATCAGCCTAATTTTTTTTTGTGCTCATTTATGACTGTATGCTAAAATAACACTTGTGGTTATTGTTATTCACACATATTGTATTGACTGTTTTATCTTATCTAAAAACAAGTCTGTTGTCAGGGCTCAAAAACTGACAAACATTGAAAAGTTTGGTCTTATTTTCTACTAAAGTTAGGCACGATAGAAGATTATTAAACCCTGTTTTTGTTATCTTCACCACCATCTTGACTTAAAGGTTGCCGTGATTGACAATTAAGGTCATCTAGTGAAAATTACCATGCTCTGTTTGAGCCTGGTCTTGAATTAATACACCCGAAACCTCTCATTACAACTGCAACACGACTTTGTGAGTTGCATTAAAGTATTTAATTTGTTTTGAGTCTAACAACATCATTTTTCCCCACTCCACATTCCAGTCTGACCCCCTGACATGCCGTTATCAGTTACAAGCCGGCTACTCTAATCTCACCGCTGCCTTTTGCCTCTGTGATCTGCATAAACGGTATCTCTGCCTTCAGGAAACACTTACTTCAAAACATAATTTTGTTTGATACGAATAATTAACATTCGTATTCCAGGAACTGGCACAGGTATTTGGCCCTGAGGTTAAAGAAAGCTGCTGTGTTTATTCAGTTGAGTCATCTCAAGCTCAATTCTTTTATTAGAAATGATCTCTAATCAGAGTTTGTTGAACTACCCCTGCATGTTTTCACAGATTCATGTTGCAGACAATGTGATTCTCTTTCTCAGGGCTTTACAACCTCCTAACTGGCTGGCTCAGTGGCACTGCGGTGTACGAGTAGACTCAAATAAAAAGTTAGTCGGCTTCATTGCTGCTCTTCCCGCAGATGTCCGCATTTATGAGACGTGAGTAGGTCATGAATATATGCAACGAAATGTGAAATATGAGCAGTATTAGTATTCAGAGCACTTGCTGACAAAAATTGAAGCAATTTGAACTGCAAGTGTCTCAAAGCAAATGCTTATAATGTGGTCTCCTGCAGGGAGAAGCGGATGGTACAGGTCAAATTTCTGTGTGTTCATAAGAAGCTGCGCCTCAAGCGGATGACTCCTGTTCTGATCCGAGAGCTCACCAGACGAGTCAACCAGCAGGGCGTCTTCCAGGCTGTCTACACTGCTGCCTTAGTGCTGCCCACACCCCTGAGCTCCTGCAGGTAGTAGCTGCTGCACAGGGTGGATTCACATTGATCTGAATGCAAAGTGAAGCCACGATTAGCACTTTTAAAGCCGCTGAAAAAACGTTTTAATATGGGGGATATATTCTCTGCCAAAGGTCACAAGAAGTTTGGTTATTTCAAAGGGCAGACTTTTGTTTATGTATTTGCTTTGTTGACTTGTTTAAAACAGCACAGTGCATTTGGAGAAACGTGATGTAACGTTTTAAAGCTGCCAGGTCATTGTCAATCAAAGCTGATCTAATCACACCAAGAAGCAGATATGCATATAGAGTTAGAGAGCTAGAGTTTCTTAGTTTGAAACCCAAAATGTTTCTATTTTGGCACGGTGGAATGTCACTAAGTACATTTACTCAAGTACTTTAGTATGATAGATTATAATAGGTTATGATGCAGAGCAGTATATACAGTATTTACAATTGGTTCCTTCTTTACCTGCTGCAGCATTAAAGCAATGAACACATGAACACAAGAACAATTATAATACAATCATTCACTTTTGGTACTTTTGTACTCTTAGTATATTTAGTTGGTAATACTTTCATATTTTTACTTGAGTTTTTTTCTCGTAAGTTTGTTGTTAGTGAGTGTTTTTGAGAGTTTAATTTGAAGCATTGTTCTGCCTTTACTGTTCTAACCAAATAACCAAACTCCATCTTTTAGGTACTGGCATCGCCCTCTGAATCTCCGAAAGCTGATGGAGCTGAGCTACCCCGGTCTGAAGCAGAACATGAGCCTGCAGAGAGCTGCGAAGTTCAACCGTCTGCCTGATGTGAGTGTGTGCTGCCACCTACAGACAAAACACATCAGTGCCAATAAAGTCTGTCATTGGCCTGATATGACTTCAACTGATTGACGAAGAGTCTTAATACACAATGTTAAAGGCAAGACATAACAGGCAAAAAACAAAAAAAAGTTCATGCACTGGTACATTTTGAAGGTTTGAACAATTTGTGCTTCCTGTTACACATCTTTTTTCATATTATAGGAAAAGAACAACCAAAAAAAAAACTTTTCTTAAAATTATTAAACCTAAACCAGAAATTGCCACTTCAGTGACACACAAACCTTTCATTTTCATTCCTATCAATATTCTAAAGGTTTTCACAGAGAGTTTTATACATATATCATTCATGGTGAGATTTATATAAATTTGTATTCCTAAAATTTGGGTTGGTTTGACTTTATGGCTTTTGACAGTATTTTCTGAATCCAGCTTTCTAGAATTCCCACTCCAAAAAACCTTGACTTTAATATGTCAACAAAATGAAACAAGAATTTTAAACCTGTCTTTATTTAATGTTGATATTTATGTTCTGGAAATGTATGCAAATAAGCTCATATTTAATAAGAAAATGCCTCAAGTCATTTACATTTTTAAACAGAACATTTCAGAAATCATGTAATATGAAAAAAAAAATCTTAATGTAAATGTAATCAACTGGTGGAGGTTTCATTCTGATATACATGAGTTCGAATGAAACCATTTTCTCCTGCAGTTTCTCCAACTAAAGAATTTGTTTTAAATCATCAGGAATTTGTGATGACAAGCATCCATATACTGAAAGTCTGTTTTGTTTTTCCTCCTCTCTTCCAGGTGACAAAGACCCCAGGTCTGCGCCGTATGACTGAGGAAGATGCTGCGGGGGTTCACTCTCTGCTGCAGGCTAACCTCAGCAAGTTCCACCTCAGCCTAATGTTGTCTTTACAGGAAGTAGAGCACTGGCTGTTGCCGAGGGAGAATGTGATCGACACCTATGTCGTGCAGGTCTGACCTTACAATTTGTCTATTTAAATATTTAATTTCTTTGGAGACTAAGTGCTTTCCTTACAAAAAAATCTCTACTGCATTATTTATTAACACATTCCTATCCCTCCTCACACACAGGGTGATGATGGCACACTGACCGACATGGTGAGTTTCTACAGTGTCTCCTACAGGGTGCTGAATCATCCTGTGCACACTGACCTGAGAGCAGCTCATCTCCTTTACGTTACCTCGACCGCCACAGACCCGGTCGACCTCATGGAGGACACACTGGTCCTGGCTCAAACTGTGAGTGTCAGAATAATAACCCCCCTCATTTAAAAAGAGCGCAAGGTGTTTGACTTTTAACCTAACCTGGAAACATACAAATAACTTGGCTTACATTCCCTCCAATCTGCATATGTGAAGTTAAATAATCAGTTTTAAAAGACAAAATTATATGTATTAGCGTTCGTATTTCTGTTTAATAAGTGTATATTTGGTTCACTGTGATTATTAACAATTAAATTATGTTTTTCCTCACTGACAGAAAGGTTTTGACATCTTCTTTGCTCTCGATGTGATGGATAACCAGAGTTTCCTGGAGAACCTCAAGTTCAGCATCAGTGACAAGAGCCTTCATTACTACTTGTACAACTGGATGTGTCCTACTATGAGCCCAGACAAGGTACTGAATAATGTAATATCTCCATCTGCCAAGAAACTTGACTATAAATGACTATCATATTGGATTATTGGTAATTTCAAGCACTTCATTTGAGTGCAACTTAAATTACATAACTATAAAATCTCACCATTACTGAAGTGTTGGATCCAAGTAAGGGCCTGATTCAAGCAGGATAAGGTTTGATCAACTGTTTCTAATCTTGATTTGTGATATTGTACACTTTCTTTCAATACCAGAAAGTAAGACTGGTAGAAATTATTTTACTACAGCTTAAAAATCAGTAACCTAAAATGACTAGTACAAACACAAACACTACTGTAAGTTTAGTGCAGGACGATTGTTGTGTTTAATAGCTGCCAGTCATCAGTAACTCATAATGGTACAAGTAATGCCTGTATGTTTTTCAGGTGGGCTTGGTGTTGCCCAACTAACCTGCCACTAAAAGGAGGCAGAGTGAAGAAGATGAATGGAACACAGTGATTTGCAGGAAATTGGGAATCAAACTGCATGCACAGCATTGATGACGTTTAAAATGTTAACAGAGAAACTGTAAAACTGAAACACTCTCAAAAAAGTCAATAAAAGAAAAATTATTCCATTTGTTTTCATCACCCGGATGTCAGTAATTTACTGGGTTCAGTGTTATTGTGACAGGAACTTCTGCGTGCATGCCACCTAATATCAAAGCTACCAATACACTGATTTGATTAAAGAACAAGGTCATTTATCATTCTCACTTAATGCACTTATATATCCCCGGGCGCCGTACATAATGGCAGCACACTGCTCCTAACACTAGGATGGGTCAAATGCAGAGAAACCGTTTCGTTACCTGTACTATGTGATGACAATAAGTTGAATCTTCTTCTTCAATATAAGATCACAAACTGCCAGACGTCAACGCAATCATCTTAAGCCACATTAAACATCATGTGAAATAAAAAGCAATATGCATGCTTTTGAAAAATCAGAAAGCATGTTTTTAAAAGTGTAACCCCTTACACACATTATAAAAAAGCTACCAAGACAAGATGCTTTAGTAGGCTATTTACTGCTCTTACAAATATAACATCTGTATCTTCCAAGTCAGCATGTCACTCTGTCTTTGTGTAACCTTACGTGGAGAAGAAGAAGAAAGCTGATCATATTCACATAATTTCAGAGTATCATGCTTATTTCTGACTGAACCCATTTTACCGTATTTCTCTAGTAACAATATTATCATTGTTACTACAGAAAGAGTAATTTGTACTATTCAGCAGGAACTGATTACTAGCCATAAATCCTCGAGGTACAAACGTTGTCTAAATACAAACAGCAGGGGGCATTGCAACCTTAACATTATTGCGATCCTTTTTAATGGTGTCAATAAACAACAACAGATGGAATGTAGATGAAGGCATCACCTGCTTTGCATGTTATTGATGCGTTTGATAATCACAAACATAAATCCAGTGTGTGTTAGACAGTGAGAAAAATAAAGCCATAGAAAGACAGAAAGATAGATAACAGGTCGACAAATCTACCTTTACCTTCAAGGGCTGTTGAAAGAAATCCTACTACTTCGAATAGCCTGCAAGTCAAGCTAACACAACTAGAATCGTGTTATTGTACATGTAGCAGTCGTGTAGATGATGCAAAACGAAATACTTTAAAATGTTACTGTCGATCAGTAGTGCCCACTGCCCACCCAGATTGTCCTTCGCCCTAAAATGGTACAAAGATACATTTAAGGGGTCAAACATTCTTAATTTGGAAATGAAGAAGAAAAAACGAAATCAATATTTTGTCCTACTTTTTTTTACACATTGGATAATTCTTTACATTTTATCAATAAAGCCACTTTTTACATTTACAGAATTTACATTTGAATATCGTGCAAATGACTAAAATTATTATATTTTCAAAAGCTCCTTTACGTTTAAATAAGTAAGTAAGTACAAGAAGCCTATCTAAAGTTTAAGAATTTGAAAACGTCTCTAGAATGCATTTGAATGCTCACTTACAACTTTTGTTAGGCTGCGTATAGACAAAGTCAACATTTGAATACCACATTAAGCAGAAGCTCGTGAACGCACCACCTCCCTGAGTTTGGACCAATCAGAAGCGAGTAGTCATTTTAAGTTTGAAGTTACCGGACCTGTCTGCTGCTGCTCTCACTGTCTGCACCCTGCCCGGGCAGGACAGAGCCGTATCTCTTCGGTGAAGGATGGGTAGAGCAAGCTGAGCTATTTACAAAAAAAAAAACAGAAGAAGCAAGGTGTCGATATATATCTATTTGTCTTTCCTTCTCGTCGAGGACTCGCTTGGGCTGAACGTTAGTGACGTGCTGCGGTTAGCTTTGTCAGGAACTTTACAAAACATACGTGCTGTTAAAACCTCAGACAGTGTGCTATTTAGTTTGAACAGCTGTCTAACACGGCTCCAACAGTCTTATCTCCGTGGATGTTGTGTATGCTGCTGACCTCCATGAAGAATTGCAGGTATGTTATGCACGACATGAATTGGCAGTTTACGTTGCAACATTGTTATGATTGCATTGTTGCAGCGCATGTTACTATGAGGCACTAAATGCAAGCTTCCTCTGAACATATTTCACAGGTGTATGAGGAAATGCTAATCAGTGCGAGTCATATGTTTCGCTACAAATTGTTACATTCAAGGTCGAGGAAATGCGTAGTTTTGTGTGGAAACGCTGTCACGAAATCTCAAGACTGTCATTGCATGTGTCAGGGTAGTTTCCCGCATTATTCATCATCCTAGCTCTTAAGAAAACAATGGTCACAAAATAAATACATGCTTTTTGTCATGCTTTTGCCTTTTCCTAGCTGCAGCCTATGACATATCTTAATACTCCATTGAATGCAAATGTTTCTGTCCCTGCTTGTGACATATCAATGGACAGAAAGACCACGCCAGCTGGTTTTATCCTTTCACCCACTGTCTTCTTTTAGAAAATTGGTCAACAGAGGCTTTTTCTAACGACTCAGTCCCTTTGCAAACAGTGACAGAGAGGAGTGAGCTGTTGGGGTTGAGTTCTGCAAAACCACCTGTGAAAACAAAGTGATAAGATAGAGTGTGAGAGCAGAAATGGCTGTCACTCTATACCCTTATTTTTTCAACTCCTACAGCCTACAGTAATGTCACAAGTTGGCACAACATAGTTTGGAATCAGAGTCATGTTTATCTGTGTCAAACTTCCCGAGCTATGCAAATACTTGCAAACTGCTTGGGTAATGTCTGTGTACATGGATGAGGCGTATTTGATTTTCCTTTGAGATAGTGGCAAATGTGAGGTCTAGCCTTTGTTTATTCAGGGTGTATTTCTTTCAGCAGTCATTTAAACTTGGTCTGGCTCTTATCACTTGTCAACAGGCTGCACATTCAAAGGCTTATGTTCAAATCAATGTCATTTTGGTGAGAACAATTGTGTAATCTGATCTTCATAACAGTGTGTCTTCAAACTTGAATGTGTAAAAGTGCAACCATTCATTAGAAGAGTACATGTTACTCTTTTTAAGCTTCATATCCGAGGGCTATGGTATTTGGGGCTTGCTAGACTGTATTTTTCCTCAATGTACGGCATCTTTATGGCCTCTGTCACAACAGGTTTACCTGCCTCAGCCAGCTGGTGTTGAGCAACAAGAAGACTGATGCATGCCTTGATAAGACAACTCTGACACTGAGCAAGACGACACTTGTTACACTTTAACTAATTAACAACACCACCCAGCTTCTTTGTGTTACTGTTGTTGTTGAGAAATATCGAAAAGTTAGTATTAACTGAGTACTATCTTGAGCAGAACAAGCAGGGTGTGGCTCCTGTCATGCTAACATACATTCTGCTGCTATTTACCTGCCTCTCCTTTGGACCGTGTAAAGACCCCAAACAAAGAGACAGACGCTCCATTGTTGTTGAACAGAAGTGAGTGTTATGTGGTTATCATTCACCTGAACGCCTCGTGCCAGACTGGGGGGGTGGGTTTGTGTTGCCTCTGCAGGGATTTTGTTACCTTCGAGAGGGCTTTTGAGGTGTGGATGTGGGATCCTGCTGCAGTGACTGACTTGTCTTGATCTTCACTGGAACATCAATGTGTTATTCTTTAAAATAACACTCTTTGACATTTAAACTGTACATCATGTTTCAATGCCTGAACTGCTTATATTATTAGAAAGCTATAGCAAGGAATGCAGGGGTTTGAATGACAGTGGTGTTGTTCTTTACTTCTGAGGACTTTTCCTCCCCCTAAAGCCTCAGATCAGTTAATGCAGAGGTTCCAAACCCTATTCTCCAAATAGCAAACCCCCAAACTATAGTACATGCTCCTACATAAACACAATTCATTGCTAACAACAGATTTACTCAGAATGTGCCAAGTTATGAAGGTGTGGGTGTGAGATTTTATTTGGTACGCTGAGTGAAGAGAGATCCAAAATATACACTTGTGCCTCAATTTAGTATTAGATGATCAAAGATTTACTTTTGTGGATTGGCTATGTCATGCTTTCATTGCTTTTTACATTTTCGTATAGAAGAATTTCCCCCTAATCAGTCGTTCTGCACATTATGTTGTTATATAGAAACAGTATTAGTATATTGAGCATTCTTCCGCACGTGTTACTTAACAGTTAAATGACAAGATACAGCTGAGCTGCGAAACTTGGCTGCACAAAGTCAAACACGAGATCCACCACTCAACCCCATCCTTCCCTTCCGACCTATCCTCTCTCCACAGCTCTCAGAATGGTTGGATGTCAGCTGCACTGCCAAAAGGTTCTGCCGTACAAATATTTATACAAAGCAGAAGGGAAGTGACAATGTGAGCAATAGGAACTCCACAGGGAAAGTACTGGGGGTTACCCTCAGGCTAATCTCCACTAAGACATATTTATAAACCTAGCTAGCAGTTAGAGTGGACCGCTTCCAGCTTCGTCACCAAGACGCTAACTGTATTTGGTCAGCCACCGCACAGCGAGGTCCACTTCAATGACGTCGTTAACCAGTGTAATATTTGCATGGCACATAAACATATGGTTGTACTTCAGACTTTCATTTGATTTGCACACACATAACACTTTCCATGTGTACGGGCAGCACAGGGCTTCTCTCCATGCTAGTTTTGACTTTGTTTTAGCTCAGTGCCAGAGCAGAATTTCGTCTGACACCATCATCAACTAAAAAACAAAAAGCCTCAGCGAAAAACACCAGTGTTTTCAATCTCAGTCAAAACAAGTACGGTTATGAGCAGCTTTTTCTGTGCATGTCAACCAGGGTTTAGAGCCTTCATGCGCATGTGAGTGACAGATGTTGCCATGAAACCATCCATTAGTAAAACCTGCTCTTAAGAAATGCATATTTGTAAACCATATGTAGGGATATAGTCAGAGCAGTGTGGTTAAACACGGCAACATTTGAATGTGATCTATAAGGGGATGTAAAGGTTGCCTTAAATCTATCCTTAAGGACCAGTGTGTACGAGTACATACGAGTACGAGGGTATTTAATTGGTACTGCACTCTTTCTGCCTATTCTTAGTTTAATTGCCCATAAATTGTGGTTTTAAACATGTTTGTGCTTTATCACCATGAATATGAAGCTGGTTAGCTAA